TGTTTTGTGATGATGGTTAAGTACTATTCGCTTACAAAACATGAATGCTGGAGAACTAAATTAACTGAGGTTTGTGAAGTGTGCTGTGATCTAGAGATGACAGATACTAGACAAGGCCCTGATCCTGCATGTGTTTACCTTTACTGCTGAAATGAGCCAATTAACTTCAGTGCAACAAAGGCGAGTAGTAAAGTGTCTGCAGTTTCCTGAGCCAGTCATCTGGAAATCAAGTGGAGAAAGTCAACTGAAACTTTAAATAAAAAATAATTTCAAAACAATTTGTTGGAATTTAGATCCCTCACAATTTGTTTAAAATAGGCATTAATTTAAATTTCAAATTGAGAAGTAATTTCTACTCTAAAAATGAAACTTTGAGATTTAGAAACTACTTAAATGAGATGCTTAAATTATTACTTAACCTTTCCCCCCAACTTTTGTTTTCAAAAAGGAAATTCATCCTAGCCAATTTTTTTCTGCCAATAGTTTTGGTTTTGGTATTTTCTGGTATAACATCATTTCCTCAGAAACTCCTCAATAGCTGCATTAGTGCAGGGCAGGAATGACTTTTAGACCATTTGTTACTTCTTTCTTTCTGTTCTTAGGACATCTGCTGCACTGTTAAATCTATCTGAATAAAGAGCTTTTTTTAACAGAGGAGAACTTTTAAAAACTATTTACCCTTCAAAAACAGAACAGGAATATATTTCATAATTAAAAACCATGTCTCTCTGAATTTACTGAGGAACCTTCTTTTTTATTAGCCTCCTGTTCTTTGGAGATTACATTATTGTTAGGAGAATATATCATATTGTGAGTTTATCTTCATTTATCAGCTCAACCAAGCACTTACCAAGAAGGGAACAATCCCTTTACAAAATTATTTTAGTTAATTGTGAGCAAATATCAGTTAGAAGTACTTTGCAAGTCCCAGATCCTGGTGCCTAGTTAAATTCTCAGTCTTGCACCCAGGCTTCACTTTCTAAGTTTGGGGACACATTGGTATCTAAAGAAACCTCAGAAGCCAGCTAAGAAGGGAAGTGCATACATTATTCAGGGATGAAAAGCATAGGGAAGGGACAGGGTTTAGTTACCCAAGATGCAGTCTTGGCGAAAACATAATTGTCTATCTGGCCAAATTGGTATCTGTTTCATTTTGGGATCCAAGTGGAAGCTTCTCCTGTTTGCCCAAGCATATACTGAGACCTCAATATAACTTTGGGATTCTCCACATCCTAGGCACTTGCCTGGGATATAGAGGACCCTAGGTGGCAGGTGAAGCAGTTTTAAATATTTAGGTGGTTAAAGGGACACATAGGTATCTAGGTAGTTCTGAGGATCAGGGTGTGAGTGAGTTAGGAACACAAATGCATCACAAATCCCACTGAATGTCAATGGGATCTTTGCTCTTAATTTAGTCCACTCCCCACAGCTGTGGATGCTGGAGGTGTCCTTGTTCTTATTTAGCATTTCTAATTATTTTATACATAATTTTAACAAACCAAGTAGACCCGAAAGCATGAATGGAAAGGGCCATGCTGAAAACACAAGACTCTTTTCCATTACATTGCTTTCAAGGCTCTGATCTGCAATGCACAATTTTGTTGTCTATCATATTCAGGCATTTTTCAGATCCTAATGGTGAAGAACACATGTATGGGGAAGTTGAGAAGAAAGGAAGATAATTAAACAGAGTGACGTTTTGACTTCGTAAATGTAATTCCTATTTTCCATATGAAAAATTTGGAAAGTATTTGCCTTTACACATATTAGTTTATCAGAAACCAGGCCTGGGCACTGGCCTGGTTCTTTACCTCAGACACAGTTTTTTCCAGTGGATCTGAAATTCAATGGGGAAACTTTCCAAATAGCAGAAAGAGCTAAATTACAAATACATATAGCATAAATATAACAGACTCAGAGCCAAATCCAACTGACTAGAAGGTATGCAAATAAGAGTGAAAAAATCATGAATACCTATTCTTTAAGGCACAATTGCCCATATTATAGTTTCATTTAAGGATCTCTGATAATTATTAAATAGGACACAATGCAAGAGCGTCACCAGTGAGTGTTTTAAAGAATCCCCAAGGTTTCTAGCTCAACTGTCTTCAGCTTTAAGATACAGTTCACAAGTATAGAAGATAACTGATTTTCCTTGTCACTCAAGACAGGCTTTATTTCTAATTAAATAGAAATAGCTTAAAATTACTTTTATTGAAGATTAGTTAAATAATAAATACACACCAGTTTGTATTTAGCTAACTATTTTATATTCAGTCAAAAAGGTAATCCAGTTGCATATAAAATAACCAGATGATTATAAGATTAATATATACTATTAAGGCACAAAACTATGTAAAAAGTGTGTGTGTATGTAGTAAAGGAGCACTCAGGGATTAGCAGGAAGAGGGTTAACAGTGAAAGAAAGGCTGCAGCTGTGCACAATTGCCATGGTAGCAGGGCTGGGCCAGCTGTTCTGAATTAAGTGAGCCTTCCCAGCACTTTATAAGTAGCAGGTTAGGAAGGTGGAGAGTTGGTTCATTGGTAGTAGGAGTTGTTTTACTGTTGGAGGAACAAGGTGAAGAAAGGAGGAAAGAGGAGAGGATCTCTTGCTTCTTTATTCTTCTTGCTTCTTTTTTTTTTTGAAACCAGGGTCCTATCTTGGCTGACCAGAGCCCTTGCTGGGCTGTTCACTTTAAAACTTAGCTGCAGGAGTTTTGGTTGCTTGGCTCAGGGGTTAGAAACCAAGGTGAAGGAACTGTGCTTTGAAAAGCTGACTTCAGCTCTGTGTTCAGATATATATGGATGGCTCCATGCATTGTGAGGCAGACCTTCAACCCCATGTCAAGCTCTGTGGGGAGGTCATTTAGGTTCTTTAGAGCTAGTTCCAAAAAAGCTCTAGCAGGCATGTTGGCAGAATTAAGAGTCCCTGGTTTATTGGCCCCATTCCAGGTTTTGGATCATCTGATTTCCCCCCCCCCCCATTTACCTACTACAGTTGAGAGAAATAATTTCTAGTTAGTGAACATACAGGGACTATGGGATATATACAACTCCTTCCAGATGCACACTGGAGGGAAAACTCTGGAAAATATATGGCTTTTGAGTAACAGAGTCTTCATTCATTTTCCCCTTTGCAAAGGGGACCTATGGATATGAGTAGGGGGTTCATGAGTAGCTGTCACGAAGCATGATGAATGTGTAAAACAAGTGGCTTCCACTCATGTTGCTGAATTACCTACCACACTGCCAGTAATGTCAGCCCAAATACCACCCCATGGTGTTCTTGTATATTTTTTCCTAGGCCTATCCCATCCTACTCCACACATGAGACATTCTGTGGATACTTATTTGATCTTTTCATATCTTTTTCAAAAACCTCACTTTTGCAACATTGCCTCCACAAAGTAACCTCAGATGGATTAGTAAGGAGGGGTATGGAGAACACAACTATCTAGGGCATAATCTTGTTCATGGAGCCTTGCTCAACTCTTCTATTATACATCTTGCAATGTTTTAGAAAGAATGTGGACTATTCTAGGGCAAAAAAAGAATGTTCTATGCTTTATATAAGGTACTTTAAACACTTATGGACATAGATGAGTAATTATCATGAAAGTCCACTTGTGAACTTTTGTGATGAGGAATAGATATCCAATATAATAAGTGAAGGGCTACTCCATACCTGAAATATTAAGAAATAACAATGATGATAGAAAAGCCTATTGTGGCAATTTAACACTTCACAGTCATAAAACAATAGATTTGGATAGATAGACTTACTGCTTTCCTGGAGGGCTCATCATTTGGGTAGGCATAGTAAAAAAGAACACTCCAGAACATTTGCTTGATTTCAAGTGCTCATTGGATGCTTGCACAATTCATCTGAATCATTAAACATATTCAAAAATTGATCTGCCAACACACATAATTTGTAGTACACAGCAGTTGATTTGTTCCATAGGGAGAGAGGAAGAGGGATTTACATGTCAGCTTACAGTGAGTATCAAGACTGAAGTCAGTAAGCTAGTTCAGTGTCTTCAAGAGCCAAAAGAGCTTGAATTCTGTTTTATACAAATGATCTGTCCCCATGACCACATTATTGGCATGTCATGAGAACAGAGCGGTTGCCATACTGAATTAAATTTTTCTTGTCTGATTTCCTGTCCTTGGCAATGGCCTGCAACAAATCCTTTTGAAGAAAACAAGAGAATATTAGAAACCAAATAGCAATGAAAACTCCACTCTGTCGGAATTTCCCCCCATTTCTGATGGGACACTTCCTTAGAGATACAGTTACATGTTGGTAGGGGCAAATAAATATGCTGTGGCAGGAAAGCAGAGAAGAAAGAGCCTTTCTCAGGACCACCTAAAGAGACCACCTATATTGCTATCTTTCCATTTGCACTAGATTTAAAAACTTGATTTACATTTTGACTTAACATTGGATAACACAGTAGCATCACATGATTAAATACACTTGCTGTAGGATATAGACCTGTCGAAAAAGCATCATCTCTTAAACACAGAGACATGAACGATACTGGCCAGAATCTAAATACCGTGTTCTGAGCCTCTATATTTTTCATTTGAAATGAAAACTAGTGCTTTCCTGTTTTAAAGGAGAGGTAAAAGAAATAAGAAGTGAGAACAGAAGGAAGAGACAATGTGTGTGTTGCCACTTTTCTGAATGTGACTGCATATATTCAGTAGAAATGAATATGAAAATGACTATAGAAGCTGCTCAACACCATTAATGTGACCTCTCTACATTGTTTTAATAAAATGAATGCCTGTGTTTGTATTTGGAAATCTTCATACTGTATCTCTATAGCTATTTGTCATGTTTCTTTAATGCCACAGCTGTTTAGTTGTACCAGGTCATCTGCTTTTATTAGTCCTTTTCCCAGTGCCCTGTGAAACTCACACCAGTCATGAAAAAGATGCTTATCTCAGTCCAAAAATAGCACCTGCTCCTCATACCCCTCCTTTCAGTGTCTCTGGGCACTTCAGTGTTTTAATTCTTTTCCGAGTTTCAAGCCTACTACTTCTTCTACCATGAAGGTTGGGATAGCAGCTTTTATAGCAGGAATCCTTGGTGGGATTGGTGTTCTACTGTTTCTCATATCTTTTGGAACAGATTATTGGCTGCTAGCTACAGAGACATGTGGTATCTTTGAACCTGGAAATAACACTCTTCAGACTGGGGAGGTAAAAGCAAGTAGTTTTGTGATATTCTGCAAGAAAAACATGCTTTAAAAAATTCCATAAAAATGTTAAACCTGCCACAGAAAATAATGTAACTGGTGGTGCTGTTAGTTTTTAAATATGTGATCATTGTTAACACATTCAGTGCATAAAAACTCAGTCTATGAAGCAGGAACCAGCACCTCCATATTTTATGCTACTAACAAAGACGTGATTTAAAGAATACATAGGAAGCCCTGAGAAGAAACCTTTATGCTATTGTGACAGACATGGGACACAAAGTTGAAATTTAAGATATAATAGATTTATTCACTTACAACATTTTGCTTCTAAAGTCATTTATTTCCTGATGATATCATCATTAAAGTTTTATTCTTTCATTTCTGCATATGAACAATATTTTATATTTAATATGTAGGTCTTTCTGATCAGTTAAATCTCAAGTGCCTCTAACACAGATAGTCAAGTGAAGGGAACACAAAATGTAGTGGCTTAAAGTACATAAGAACTCATTCTGTCTGTTTACTTAATATGGTGAGATGGCTAAGTGGTTTCAAAATTTGGCTTTAAGAAAAATATAGGATTTTTGATATCAGGGATCCTTGTCTAATTTTTGCAGTATTGTGCAGCATTTTATTGCATTTTGAATACTTAAAATTGATAGTTTATTGCTACATTCTAATATGGTTCATGTACAGATCTCTTTGAAACCTTGAGTTTTAGCTGAATTTACTTGTGGTGAAATATTTAATTTCTTATTAAGCTTTATGGAATAACGGTTGAATCAGCTTCATGAAACTAAATTCTTCTCAAACATTTTTCTTCCAGTCCCCATGTATGGTTTTATTAACAATTTTCAGAAATGCTGTATTCTTTTGTTATGCAGACTTTATTTCAAAGTTCAATCCAATTATATTTGATTTTTATGTTATGTGATTCACTTGTGGAAAACTTCATGAGGTTAGCAATAAGCATCTTCCATAGTTTGAGGATTTCATAATACAGAATAGCTTGCATGGCTGTATGAGTCAGATTTCCAAATGACTGTCTATCTCAAGAAGCAAAATGATGATAGAAAGATGACTTCCCAGCAGACAAATAATCTTTGTATAAAACAGCACAATAAGACGCTGAAGATGGCAGACTGTAAACCTTTAACAGGCATAAAAGTGCAGTTCAGATTTTTTTTTCACTTAGGAAATGAAATGACATTCTCTTTCCTATCGCTTATTTAAAAAAAATATATTCTGTTGTATTTAAAGTGAAAGGATTACAAGGCTAGCGCTGATGTACTGCATTAAATAAAACAAACCTCTCAGACATTTCACATATGTTGTTAGGCCAACTGTTTGCACATGACACACACAGAGGGATCCTGAAAAATGCCAGTTGGGAGTAGGAACAACTTTAACTTTTGCCCTTGAGGTTTTTGCTTTTATTTTATGCAGTGTCTTTGTAATTGAATTGTTGCTCCAAGCCCTAGGCTGCAGTTTATATTTGTTCTTGCTCATCCCTTTGTAACAGGCAGACTTTAGCCATTGAGAGTCTTGGTTATTGACCAACTGGTGGCCAAATGCAAGTGCAGATTTAGCAAGTCATCAGTTGGCCATTTGATGTTGTTGTGCATCTTCTAGGTTGTCAGAGTTAGGTTCAGACCTAGTCCGAAAGCAACCACTTTTCAAGGGGGAGAGTGTCTCTTGCCAAATTAATACAAGCTCTACTTTGGCCTTTTGGTGTTTAACTCCTGGAGGGTTTAGGACACTTGTATAACACCGCTTAACTGAGCCCCATCACTCTTTCTCTCCGTTTAAGCCAGGTGGATTTATCCAGTGACATATAGAACACTTCAAGTCCCTTGAATATAACGCTTTCTAAGAGCTGCTCCACACTTCACCCAGTCAAGTTCTACAACAGTAATAGTGCTTCTTTATCAAATTGTGCACGAGAACAATTGATTTAATTACAGCTCTAATTATTTTCCCAGCAGAACAGTTGGGACATTTCCACTCTTGAAATAGCCTTTGAAATGACCTTGTGCTTTGAATAACCTTTGTACACATGGCAGTGGATGGGGCAAAATGCATCAAGATGCTAATATTCCCAAAATGAGGAGACCGATATATAAAAAGAGTAACTCCTCTCTGAGATAACCTATTTGCATCGAGCAAAGAAATAGAGAGAGAGAAGGGTTGGGCCAAACCTTTCTGGATCATCTAGTTCACTACAAACTGTGTTCTGAAGAACCCTGGGGGTTCACAGTCGGTCACCAGGGATTCTTTGCAAAGAGATTGGTGATAATGGTGGATTGGGCTGGGAGATGGTGAGCTGCCATTGCTGGGCCTAGTTGCTTGGCTCCGTGGATAGGGCTAGGGGCTCCACGGAAGAATTGATATGCAAGGGTTGTGTGATTTTAGGAAACCACTGATCCAGTTAAAGAGGGGTCACTGACAGTTCTAAGGCTGGTTGTAGTTTTGGCTACACAATAGCTGCCAGATTGGGCCCACATCCTGCTTACTCAGAGATCTGTGGAAATGATTCACTTAGGAAATTCAGAAAGCAACATGTAAAAGCTTGAAGGATACAGGACAGTACAGAGTTGGGTGTCTGTGTTAAGGCAATCCATTCAAGATGCTGATTACTCACACTTGTTTGTCATCTTAGCAGTGCAAAAGAAACAACAAATAAGAAAATTTCTCCCCACAGCTGGAAATAAATTGAGAGAGAACTTTGCTAGCCCAGTGACTGAACCAAAATAAAAGTGAATTCCCTGTTGCATGCAGTGAATACAAGCTTATATTCACTACATGCCTTGTGCTTTTATTCTTTGCAGGTCGAAGTCTGGGGCGAGACCAGAAAAGAGATCCTCACTTTTCATCATGAAGGTTTCTTTTGGAGATGTTGGTTCTTTGGCAAGGATTATGAGGAGACCATATGGAACTTCTGGTTCAGTGAGTGCTCCTGATATGGTTTCCAGATTGGTTTGGAAATATTTTAGTGGGCTAGGTCTAGCATTGGCTTTAGCATGTTCTTCTGAGCATGTTGCCGTAGCTGGAGTTTATCAGTACTGCCATTATGAATCATAAGATTATATAATTTTACTGGATCATAATTCATCTATAAATATCCAATCTGAGTTGCAACTTGGTGAAGACATCTCTCTCAGATGAGAAGCTAGCTTTTGCTACATTTATTTTACGTTTCAAAAGATGCATCTATGCCTTTTTAAATTACAGGTGGCCAAAACCTAACCTGAGAAGGCTCTCTCTTTCTGTGCTCCCTTTAACTCATAAATTTGCTCTCAGATGGTCTTTTGCAATCTTGTAGGAGCCATTTTTTCCCTTAAAAAAAAAAAATCAATGTTTCTTTCAGAGCATTATGGGGGTGGTAACTTCATCCACCAGGGATGCAGCTCCCTTTGGGGACTGATTTGCATTACGTCTTGGGTGCACTACCAGAAGTTGCCTGACTGCAGATCTGCAACTCTGCCCCTTATCTTTGCTGCCCTAGTTATGCTACAGTCCTATTAGGTGCCAAGTGATTCCAATATTGATTTTTTTTTTTAATCTGGGAAGCAGTTTCATACTTTATAGGAGATACTGAACACCATTGGAAGGAGGCTAGATAATCACCTTGCTGGGGTCATTTGATCCCAGCATTCATTCCTGCCCATGGCAGGGGGTCAGACTCAATGATCTGCTCAGGTCCCTTCTGATCCTAACAACTATGAAATTATGAAACAACTATGAAACCATGGAAGACCATGCCCAATAAATCTGTGTTTAAATGCATTTAGGACACTTACTGAAATCATTCTCTATTTACTTATTTTTCCCCAGATCATTACAATTATGAGCATCAAAGTACTTTAGCAAATGCAGTTTACAGAAAACAAAAAACAAACACAACAGAGACACAAATTCCACCTTTTTGAAAGTACAGTAATTGAAAAACACTTTTAAAGGAGAATTGTTGCAATCTTTTGCTTGAATAACTTGGGGGTGTCAGCTGGAATCAAGTCAATCTGATAGCTGCTTGGTGCCCTATGTGAAGTAGACATAGTGGTCTCAGTCAAGCAGACAGAAGTTCACACTACAAAAAGCAAATGACAGCATGACCACACAACTGATGCTAAACAGCATCTTTGACAACAACAAAGCCAAGGACAAAATAGATCACAAGGACTTGGCTCTATTTTCTTGCATAGGGGTGGCTAGAAAGCATTGGTGGGGTGGTACTTGTATTGGTGTGGCCCTGATTCTGCCACACAGTTCAGTGGATAAGGATAGGATCATGGTTTACTGAGCTTCAAAAAGAATAAGATAAGCACTAAAATATCTTTATAAAATCTCTTTTTATATCCAGATTTATAAAGGGTTCCTAGTCATCCAATTAATTATCATTCATAAACCTGCTTCATTAAAAGATATGTATTCAGGTGTGACATGTTTTATGGTAACTTGGGTGTGCCATTTTGGTGACTTTCCTCATCCAAGGCCAATCCTCAGGGAATATTACTGAGATATACTAACCAGTGTTTCCAGAATAGCAGTATAACTCTCAGGGGTGTTGCATTAAAGTGAGGCATGCACTTTGTGTAATAACATCATAGAAAATGGAACTGGTTTGTATTAAAAAGCTACATAGAGTAAAACAACCATCACCACAACCAACCTATAGACACTAGAGTTACTCATTGCTTATAGGCAGCTAGTATTTTCTGAATTGGTAAAGTCCATCTCTAACACATGTTTAATGAAGCGACTGCAAAGTGTGATCTTCTCATAGCAACGTTGTCATAAGTTCACAATGTACTTCTGTCAGGATCTCAAAGTAAACTTTCAACCCAATATGATCATTATGTCAGATGATTCCTGTTCATTGTAGACTGCTATATAGGTTGGTACACTAACTAGCTTTATGCAGTTAATAATTACAAGAGCTGTTTTATATTTTTAAAATAAAGGGAATTTTGGTAAAAAATGCCCTGAGGGCCAGACCTATTCCCATACAAGACAATTAGATACTAAATTATCTGACCTTGCCTGAAGCAAAATGGGGGTACAAACCACCAACTAAAATGCTTTTAGTAGAAAGCCATTGTTAAATAACTGGCAAATCTGTATTACTACTTTAGGTATTTATTATAATAGGATTGATCATGGCAAATTAATTTGCTGCTCTTGTGGATGTAATAATTAATTCAATAGGTATTTCACAGTCAGTTTAGCAAGAACTAATGTCCATCTACCATAAAGTGTTCTTTGAGCTGGGGAACATATTTAAATAAGTGGCTAATCATTAATTAATTCATTTAACATTCATTCCATTACCATGAATCATGATAAACCTCAGTTGTATTAATATTGATGGGACACTTCTATTGTAATTGTGCTTTCTTTGCCCACAAACTGGAACTGTTGTACTGTAGGTAGCTCTAATAGCTAGACATTTTAGTCTTTTTCAGGTGGTTTGGCATGTACTGTATCTGGGAGGAAAACAAAAAGCCAATAACTAGCCCCAGTCAGGGGGAGAGTTCTCAGCATAAACAGTTCCAGATTTTTGTCTGGCTCTAGTTTGTTTTTGAAGGATTTGCATTTAGAACACATTTGCACTCTTTGCATTTAGAACAGATTGGAAATATACTTTATTCCACCTCCTCTGACTCCACCTGGTGTTTTTGTGGGTTTTGCAGAACTAGCTGTGTTTATTGAAATATTAGTGGTTGTATTTCCATAAAATAAAAGCAAAAAGCTGTTTGATCTTCACTTCTTTTACAGCTAACCAACCACACCCCAAGTTCTGCATGCACGGCTACCTGTTTCCTATGCCCATTGCTTATGGACCTGTTCCACATCCTTCCTATGATGCAACTGCAGGTTAGTCTCTAACTAGTCATAGTCACATTTTCTTTCCACAGAGTTAATGGTACATGGAGATGTGCGGAGCTGTACTGTAATTTAATGTGTGGAGCTGTACTGTAATTTTCATTAGTTACGTTACCATGTAATGCTTTTTCTTGGCCCTGCTCAGATTAGGCTTCATGGCCTTTGCAGGAAGAACAGGAACGACTTGTCCAATGCTCTTCCCTGTGGCTAAGAAGGAAGCAGAGAGGATAAGGAGGACCCAGGGATCTACCACGCTGGCCAGAGTAGGTGGCTGAGGACATCCAGGGAGCAGTAACCTGCTCTCTGTAAAAGACTGGAGTAATTTAATTTAGGAGAGCTAGCAAGCAGAGAGCACAAGTCTGATTATAGTTTAGTCCTAGGTCTAATAACTGGGCAGTACTTTTCCATGCTCATTTCAGGGTAGATCATCTCAGGAAGTCCTCAGTATTCACTCTGAGCTTTCATCATAAAAGAGGCCAGCTTTCTACATCTCTAGATCTTTCTCCTATTGGTAGATAGTTTGCTTTTTATGGATCTTAATAAATACGTGTAAACTGAAAATCACTTTGCTCTTTTTTCCCCTATCTCTTTTTATTTATTCATTTATTTTGCACACATTCAAATACACTTCTCTTCCTAAAAGGGTATAGAACAACCCTTTGGGGTATTTGGTGTGAACCCAGAGCCAGGGCTCCATCTACTCCCTGCGTACCCTTCATCTGTTTACTATCAGTGGGAAGTATCTTGAGCAGAGCACTGTTGCTCCCTAAAACTAGGGAGTTGTGGTCGCAAGAAAAAGCATGCCCTTGATTCACCCAAGCAAGACAGTAGTGGCAATTCTAGGGATGGGTGAGCAAGGATGCCAGAATCATTTGCTACCCCCATGAAGTCTATGCCATGGTAGCAAAAGCAGCCATATAGTGCTGCTCTTGCAGAAGCAACTGGGTACCTGGATGCTATGCTGCTGCTGTAAAAGCAACAGCTGGGGTGGGGAGATCACGCCTCCCCACACACCTGGTTCTCAGAACCTGTGTCCCTCTGGCACTTGCCCATTCCCCTGCAGGTTTTGCCCAGGGTACCAACCCTGTCTGTTTTGCCTCTTGTGTAACAAGAGCCTTATTCCCCTATATCTGAATACAGGCTTTACCAGCCTAGCCCTGATGCTTTGCATAGTGCCTGCTTCAGCACCAAGGGCGCTATCATGTTGATTTATTGTTCTTTTCTTAAAAGAAAAAGCAATAAAGACATTTCTTAGAAGACCCACATTAGGAAAGGCAAATGAATCAGTCACCAAAAAAAGAGCCCAAACTCTCAGTTACACGAACAAATTTGAATAGATTCTCCCCCATTGTTTTCCTTTTATTTATGTCTCCATATATTTTTGGAGGTCTGTAATGAATCAGCTGCCGTTTGGAATTTTAATTTGCTCAATTGGTGGCAGAAGACAGAATTAATTCAATGATCTTGTTTTTGAAATTAATTGATTTCTTTAAATAGTGTGTATCATTCTGCTTTGCCTCTGGGGACCCAGGGCAGGCACGGAGTACAAACAAACATCTTGACCTTTTCTTTAGCCTTTAGCAATACCTTTTTTATAATGGGGAACTAATTTAAAAAAATATATTTGTCAGAAAGAGCATTTGAGTGAGAGTAGCTGCCTTTTTTTCCCCTCTGCTATGTAAGATTTCTGCCCTAGGGAGCACACTGCAGTAAAATGGATATGATGTGTCTGTGACAGTAAATGAACAGCTCATTTCTGGCTCCAGCACAGGCTCTTTCTAACAAACACTATCCAGGCTAAGCAGCCGTGTTTTTTTAATTCTTACAAGAAAAAGTCGTGGGTTCTAGTTTCTGAATTATCTTGCTAATGAACAGGCTAATTTTTCTGTACGAAGTACAGGGCCCTCAAGCCATCTGTCCCTGTCTGTCAGTCCTTGCTATGAAACAAACTCCTCAGCTGCCTCTCAGGAATCTTTGCTTGGACTGAGTTCTGCAAGACTGTTACTGCTTAAAGTGCCATGGCTGAGCAAAAAAGCTGTCAGACCAAGGAATATCCTCAACTATAAACTCTGTTCTTTAGTCTCTGATCTGCAAAGAGAATTTAACTTGCCCCAGGGGCTGCAAGATTGTGCCTTATGTTGGGTTGTAGATGATGCAGTGATGACTCCTGAGGAGACATGTTCTTCTCTGCATGGATTGAAAGTTATACATGTACAGTTCTTACTCAAGTTTAGCATCCAATCCATTACTGGGCAACTGCCTATTGAGCTAACCTTTACTTTCATTTGTACCCAAATTTAAAATACAGCTCAGTGGGTGCGTCTACACAAGATGCTTCAAGTGCAGTAGACTAATTCTACTGAGCATTAGTGCAGCAGGCAAAACCCATGCTAATGTGCTAATGTGTAGTAGAATTAATCTACTGTGCATTAGTGTCACAAAACAGTGTGCACTGGTGCTAATGCTCAGTAGTGCCGATTATGACGCATTGAGTTTAGGGCGTAATTACAGGTACTAAATGTAATGCACTGTGTAATCACAACACATTAATGAATGTAAATGTGCATCCTCCAGCTTTCTAGTATTTTAACATACATTTGCTTGAAATAAAATGTGTACTGTATGAATGTGTGAATGTAAATGTACCCATTGTGAATAAGGGTGGCAGGATCAGGCCCTCAATTTAGTTTAATCCTCATCTACAAAATTGGGGTGAGTATGCTTTCCTCACTAGTGGTATTTAGGCTACATTAACTGACTTTAAAGCAGCAATTCCCAAACTGTGGGTTGCAATGCCAAATGGGGTCACAACATCAGTGGATGGGGTCGCAAGGTTGGGGGGCAGTGGGTTGGGAGTGAGGGGCCATGATGAGGAAATGGGGTCATGCTGAGGAAAAGTTAGGGAAGCACTCTAACACATTTGAGACCTGCAGCAAGATGGTACTAATTCAGTACACATTTTATTTCAAGCAAATGTATGTTAAAATACTAGAAAGCTGGAGGATGCACAAGGAGCTACATTTGCTGTTAGCTATACCCAAATCAGTAGCTTATTAAGTAAGAGAAATGTTTGGCCCTGTGAGAGGAAGGTGATGTGCTATTAGGCATAAGGATTGTGGGTTTCTTTAAGTGCTCAAGATTCTTATCTTTTGCTATGTGGATTCCATGTCAGGTTGATTTAAAAATGAGTAAAATATGTTTGCTTTGTAACATTTTTCTTTCAAATGTGAATTGTTAGAGAATTACCCATTTTTTCATGCTTGATTCAACTCTTTGTAATTGCTACTTCAGAGAAAAAATGCACAGAGTGAAAGCTGATAGCAAAAGGGGACAGGATAGCTCAGAAAAATTGATAGTGGGACACTTTGGAACTGTTTTGCTTAAAGAATACCAGCTATATGGTACTTGAACAAAAGATTTTGGTTGCTCAGTGAAATAGGTTAGTTATCTGAATTTCATTCTGAGTAGTTGGAAAGCGCCCTGTCGCAGGGTGCCTGCTCCTAAAAGAGCAGAAACTGCCTGGGAAGAGCCCAAACAGCCAGACAGGAGCCCAGGTGCAGGTTTCCATGGCAACCAGCTAATGAGGAAATTAGCTTGCATCTGTACCTGGTCAGCTAGCCGGAAGGGGCAGGGCCCTGGGACCACGTAAACCCCAGGATGGGGACTAGGAGGCAGTTCTCTGCTGGTGGCCAAGAGAGAAGGAGCCCTCCTGGAGTAAGTGGAGGCAGGAGGCCTAACTGGGTTCTGCTCCAGGTAATGCAGAGGGGCCGAGCACACCTTATGTACCTTGTGTTATGTTATAGGCCACGGGCTTATGTTTTGTTTGCCGTTTTATAAGACCAGTGGTTTGGGTGAGGCTACTTGGGGAAGGAGGAGGCCTCATTGGGGGGCACAGACCCCGGTGCCAGAGAGGACATGGCATTTTGCGGTGCACTGACCCCGGCACCGAAGGGTGCAGAGACAGGGCTGTGGAGAGCCCAGTGAGGACAAGGGGGCAAATTATAATGAGGCCTAGGCAAAACAATGCCAGTACCATCTGCGAGGCTTGGAGCATGGTAAAGGGGCGGTTGGAGCCATGCATCTAGCCCATAAGGCTAGGGTGCCCTGCAACGCCCATTGTAAAATGGGACCCACAAGGGGTCTGGGAACCCACGGGGTTCAGAGAGTCCATCAAACCGTGTCCAAGATGACTTAAAGGCAGTCTCCCTATTTTTATATTTTCCATCAAAGACGTGGCGGGCGAGAACTGAGGGTGCCCTTCGGGCCAAATTGGCATGGTCGAGGGCCTTAGGAGATCACGGCCGTCCTTGAGTATCCCATCCTGTGACATGCCCCTAACATACAAATAGCCTGTCTGGTCTTTGCTAGCAGTAGGAAATCCAAGACTCAAGATGCCGAAGATGTTAAATCCCTTCTCTACTTATGATCTACCTTGGATCATCTAGGAAGCAGCAGGGGTACTGGGGAGGGCATAGCCTGCTCTGTAACTTCATAAAAGACTACATTATTCAGGACTATGAATTCAACACTTTCAACAAGCATTATTTAAGGGGAGAGATGACACAATTATATGTTTGTCCTTATGATTAGTTTTCATTCTTTCTTTCCTACCCCAAACTCTGCTCTCTCACAAAACTTCTACCAAGCAGTATGTGTTGTCCTCACAATTAAAACTGTTTTATGCCCTGCCTTCATGACCCACTCATCAGAGCTCTGGTATTTAGTCCAGCCCTATTTCTTACGGCATGAGGTATAGCACGACACAAAACCTAAACCTGCAAGTGCTGGATATACTATACGTGCTCAATTGCACTCAAGGGAGTTAGTAACATGCCAGACACATCTCTTCTGAACATGAACAACAGCTCAATAAGTCTAAAAAATATTTTAAAAATTGTTCATAATCCTGGTATTCATTACAGCAAGGTTATTATTTTTATTGTCACTGAAATTGGAGTTACATGCTTCAGTTTCACAGACTTCTGAAAACTGATCTGATTATGTGGGTTGATTTTTTTCCTTTCCTATAATTCTATTCTTTTCGATTGTACAGTGTACAGAGGCTTCTGGACTGCATTTATCATGGTAGCTGTCGCTGCCAGTCTGGTGGGAGGATTCCTGTTGGTGTGTGGTGTGCCCTTTGTCAATGCTAGATTTTATAAAGTAGGAGGCGGATTCCTCATCACATCTGGTAAGCTGCCAAGTCATGGTAATTGGATATACTAGTGCCTGGAGTGCTGAGACCAAATCTTTCTTTGTGTGCGCGTGCGTGTGTGCATGAAAAGGGTAGGAACACTAATAATGAGACACTACAGCAGAAAGATATGAGCTCTGGTAAATTATATGTGCAATACATTTAAGGGCTGACTTTGAATAAACTGTTTTCCCCTGCAATGTAAAAATGAACTTTTATGCTTAGTCAACCTTTAGAAAGATACTATTATTTAGCCATAAAAGATTCTTTCTTTCAGAAAGATTTTTTTCCTCTTCTATTAGATTCAGATCCTGCTATGCAATGTTGGGACAGACCCCTAAACCTAAACCTAAACCCTAAGTCTGTGACTTAAACCCTAAGTCTATGACCATAGCATCTTATACTGTAATTAGCTGGGCCCCACTTCAGCAATTTGGTCTTCTCATTTGTGCTGTGTTTCTTTTAGCATTGGGTAGAAATCAGTACTTGGGCTATCAAATGCATTCCAAATGAAAACAAAAATGTGGAGGTGCTCAAATAAAATGAAAAAGTGTTATCACATCAGGAAAATAAGCTACAATATTTGTTTATTCATCTTCCGGCATAACACTCTTAATTACTGAATTATCGATAGCACCAGGATTTATAATATTTGGGGCTTTTTTCTCTCTCTCTCTTTTTTTGGTTTGAGAATGGTTTAGTTAGTATAAATGTCTACACGTAATTTAAATCCTTGACCCAAACTTAAAAATAATGCAGTGGTTTTGTTTTGTTTTTTAATCTGAATAGTTAAAAATGTAATGTCTTGGGAGTCTCCAGTAGGAGAAGCTGGTTAGTCAAGTGTTTTATTGATGCAATACTGTTATTAAGAGTTCTCCAAGTCTCTTTTCTCTCAACACAAACAGGATGGAGTGTCTTTGCTTACTACGCTAAGCCCCTTGGGGATATAACGCCAGTGCTTATTCTCTGAAGTAAGGGTATATTTTCAGTGCTTATTCAGGCCATATCTTGTGCCTCTTTTGCCTTTTCTTTTAGTTTCTCTAGATTTTTTTGTGTCCCTTTCACAGACACCCCCCCCCTTCACAAAACAACACTTAACTACACCTTTCTGTCCACATATGCCTTTTATTTTTGGCAGTAATGTGCTTGTTTTAGGAATGGAAGCCGCAGTTTATCTTAAATAAAGTTTGACAGTTGCACCCAATTCATCAGAACAAAAACATGTAACCAAACATTGAAGATTTTACAGAGTTTGATGGTAGAAGTTTGATTCAAGTTAACTTTTCTCCCACAAATTCTAATGAGGGGCTGGTAGAAGTATTGCTATAGGGTCTCTTCTGCAAACATTTATTCAACAGTCTTGCTTTATGGATGTGAGCAGTCCCCTTAAGTTAACCCACCTATACATTTAATCATAATACTTTTCATAAGATCAAGACAAACAGATAATTTTTTGTAAACTGTGCATTCTGGTTATTCTACTTATGCTCCAACTCATCAAGAAATATAAGCATGTGTATAAATTGAAGTACATGAGCACTCCCATTAAAGATAACCAAAAACAGACAGTAAAACTTATCCCTGGTATTTTTTCTTTGGACTCTTCTTTTTTTAAAAAAAGCAGTGATCAAAAAAAAAAAATCAGGAGAGAGAATTTCATGATTTTTAAAATAGCTGGTTATATACTATAGAATCCCTTGGCATTAGCCAAAGGTGCAGCAGTTGAATAGAATGTCCCACTTAAGCAGCAATCATTGTTATTAACCATAGCATTAAACTAATTCAATACTTTGGGAGCCATTCTGAT